TCTTCGTTATGAAGTGGATGTCTTTCTCAAGGAGAAAGAAAAAGGTCAGGAAGTACTTTCTTACCCTGGATAGATTTTTGATTTGGCCTTTCTTAACTGATACCACAGAGTACATGTTGAATCTAAGGTTGCAGAAAAATGGAAAGTTTGTATGTGACAGGTATTCTGAAATGAAAGCTTCTGAAGCAAAAATAAATATTTTTGTGAAACAAGTTAGCAAAAGTAACTTTTCAAACTGCTCATGCTGCAATGAACTAAAATTTGAGAAGGATGGGAATTTACAATTCAATGTTGAAAGACACACCAAAGCATTGAACCTATTGCAGGTGGAATTCCAGATCAGATTAACTAAATTGCCATAAGCATGGAAAGCAGATAAGAATGTTTCAGAATCCATTTGAAGTAGCACCAGAAGATACAAGTAACTTTTTTCAGATGGAACTAATTGATTGGAACTAATTGACATGCACATGGTAGACATGTCATGAGTGGACATGTCATGAGTGGAGCAGGGTGGAGCTGGGGGTCAGACTAGTCTGGGAGACCCCTTCTGATTCTTCGTGTTTCTATGTTTCTATGATTTTCAAACCAGAGATAATCTCAGAGACATTTACAAAGAAAATAGTCTGTTAGACTTTTATTGTGGTATTCCTGATATATTTATCAACCTGAAGAAATTTGCTGCAGGCATGTTCACAGACTTTGGCACCACATCATCTGTGAACAAACATTTTCCAAGAAGAAAATCGTGACATCCAAGTGTAGGTCAAGACTTACAGATAAAAATTTACATGTCATTTTAAAAAACTTCCATGGATCACTGCCTTGTTGTGGAGAAGGGGCTTGTGTAGCTTAATGAAGCTATGTGCTATGCCATGCAGGGGCACCCAAGACAGGTCATAGCAGAGAGCTCTGACAAAAGCTGATCCACTGGAGAAGGAAATGGCAACCCACTCCAGTATCTTTGCCATGAAAACCCCATGGACAGTACCAAAAGGCAAAAAGATATGACACCGGAAGATAAGCCCCTCAGGTCGGAAGGTGTCCAATGTGCTTCAGGGGATGAGCAGAGGGCTAGTACTAGTAGAGCTAGAAAGAATGAAGTGGCTGGGTCAAAGCCAAAAGGACACTCAGATGTGGATGTATCTGGTGGTGAAAGCAAAGTCCAATGCTGTAAAGATCTATACTCCATAGGGACCAGGAATGTAAGATCTATGAATCAAGGTAAGCTGGACATGGTCAAACAAGAGATGACAGGACTGAACATTGACATCTTAGGAATTAGTGAACTAAAATGGACAGGAATGGGTGAATTTAATTCAGATGACCATCAGGTATACTACTGCGGGCAAGAATCCCTCAGAAGAAATGGAGTAGTCTTCATAAAAGAGTAGGAAAAGCAGTACTGGGATACAATCTCCAAAATGACAGAATGATCTCAGTTCGAATCCAAGGCAAACCCTTCAACATCACAGTAGTTCAAGTCTGTGTCCCAACCACTGGTGCTGAAGAGGATAAAGTTGACCAGTTCTATGAAGGCCTACAACACCTTCTAGAATTAACACCAAAAAATGATGTCCTTATCATCATGGGGGATTGGAATGCTAAAGTAGAAAGCCAAAAGATAACTGGAATGACAGGCAAGTTTGGCCTTGGATTACAAAATGAAGCAGGGCAAAGGCTGGCAGAATTTTGTCAACAGAATACACTGGTCATAGCAAACACTTTTTTTCCAACAACCCAACAGACGACTCTACACATGGACATCACCAGATGGGCAACACAGAAATCAGATTGACTGTGTGTTCTGCACCAAAGATGGAGAAGCTCTATAACAGTCAGTAAAAACAAGACCAGGAACTGACTATGGCTCAGATCATGAGGTTCTTGTTGCAAAATTCAGGCTTAAATTGAAGAAAGTAGGGAAAAGCACTCGGCCACTCAGGTTTGACCTAAATCATATTCCTGATGAATATACAATAGAGGTGACAAATAGATTTAAGGAATTATATCTGATAGACCTGAAGAACTATGGATGGAGGTTTGCAACATTGTACAAGAGGTAGCAACTAAAACCATCCCGAAGAAAAGAAATGCAGGAAAGCAAAATGGCTCTCTGAGGAAGCTTTACAAATAGCTGAGGAAAGAAGGGAAGCGAAAGGCAAGGGAGAAAGAGAAAGATACAACCGATTGAATGCAGAATTCCAGAGAATAGCTAGAAGAGATAAGGCCTTCTTAAATGAACAGTGTAAAGAAATAGAAGAAAACAAAAGGACCAGAGATCTCTTCAAGAAAATTGGAGATATGAAGGGAACGTTTCATGCAAAGATGGGCATGATAAAGGACCAAAATGGCAGGGACCTAACAGAGGCAGAAGAGATTAAGAAGAGGTGGCAAGATTACACAGAAGAACTATAAAAGCAAGAGCTTAACCCCCCTGATAACCATGATGGGGTGGTCGCTGACCTTGAGCCAGACATTCTGGAATCTGAAGTCAAATGGGCCTTAGGAAGTCTGAGCAACAACAAAGCCAGTGGAGGCGACAATATTCCAGCTGAGCTAGTCAAAATCCAAAAAGACGATGCAATAAAAGTGCTACACTCAATATGCCAGCAAATTTGGAAAACTCAACAGTGGCCACAGGATTGGAAAAGCTCAGTTTACATTCCTATTCCAAAGACGGGCAATACCAAAGAATGTTCAAACTACCGGACCATTGCACTCATTTCACATGCTAGCAAAGTTATGTTCAAAATTCTACAAGCTAAGCTCCAGCAATAGTTTATTTATTTATTTAGTAAACGTCTATGCGGCCCCATTCGCCAAAGCCTCGGGGTGGCTTACAACAATAAATAAATACATATAATCATATAAAAACAATAAAACTTGAAACGCCCTGGCCAAAGATATAAAATCAATAAATAAGCTAACAATTAAAATGTCGTTAAAATAAAAAGGTCTTGGCCTGGCGTCAAAAAACATATAACGATGGCACCAGGTGGACCTCTCTGGGGATCTCATTCCATAGATTGGGTGCCACTGCAGAGATTCCATAGATTGGGTGCCACTGCGCATTCCATAGATTGGGTGCCACCCTCCTCTGGGTACTTACCCTCCTAATATCCTTCACGAAGGGTTCCCGGAGAAGGGCCTCTCCTGCTGATCTCAAGGAGTGGGAGGGCACGTATGGACATAAGCGCTCCTTTAGGTAACCAGGACCCAAGCCATTAAGGGCTTTATAGGTGATAACCAACACCTTGAATTGGGCCCAGACTTCAATGGGGAGGACTGGAGTCATGTGAACATAACGCCCAGTCCCCGTCAGTAGCCTGGCAGCTCTATTTTGCACCAATTGAAGTATCTGGACCTTCTTCAAGGGCAGCCCCACGTAGAGCGTGTTGCAGAAGTCTAATTGGGAAGTTACCGACGCGTGTGTCACTGTCACCAGGCAGTCGTTCTCCAGGTAGGGACACAGCTGATGGATCAGCCAAAGCTGAAAGAAAGCACTCCTCACCACCGCTGTCACCTGAGCGTCAAGTGAAAGCTCTGGGTTGAGGAGCACTCCCAAACTGTGGACCTTGTCCCTAAGAGGGAGTGCAACCCCATTCAGGACAAGGACAATGTCCCCTTCCCCGAAGCCCGATCCACCTACCAACAGGACCTCCGTCTTGTCTGGATTGAGCTTCAGTTTATTGGCTCTCATCCAGCCCATTACCTCAGCCAGGCACCGGTTCAGTACAATATGTGGAGCAAGAACTACCAGAAATTCAGGCAGGGTTTTGAATAGGTTGAGGAACTAGAGATCAAATTGCCAACATACGCTGGATCAGGGAGAAAGCTAGGGAGTTCCAGAAAAACATCTACTTCTGCTTCATTGACTATGCCAAAGCCTTTGATTGTGTGGATCACAGCAGATTGTGGCAAATTCTTAAAGAGATGGGAGTACCAAATCATCTTATTTGTCTCTTGAGAAACCTCTATGTGGGTCAAGAAGCAACAGTGAGAACTGGACATGGAACCACTGATTGGAGAAGAGCCTAATGCTAGGAACAATAGATGGCAAAAGAAGAAGGGGATGGCAGAGGATGAAGTGGTTAGATGGAGTCACTGAAGCAGTCAGTGTGAGCTTGAGCGGACTCCGGGGGATGGTGGAGGACAGGATGGCCTGGTGGAATGTTGTCCATTGGGTCGCATTGGGTGAGATTCAACTTCGCAGCTTACCACATTCACAAACCTTGACTTGTAGAGGTATGCTTTGGTTAACAGAAAACAGCCACAAAAATCACACTGACTAGGTACACATGTGTAGCTAAATAAACAGATGCTACAGTAAGATATTGTTCCAAAATGGATTGTATTGAAGTTCTTCATTGACTGCTGAATGTTTACTTTTGATCTAAATTGGCAGGTTAGCAATATTGTTACATTTTGATTTAAGATGTGGTCCTCTTTAGGCATTGAGCCCTCTAATTTGGTTCCCATGTCCCAGAAGGTTGGGGAGCACTGTTCTAGCATATTGTTAGGGGAGAAAAATGGTTCTTGCCAAGGTTGAGAATGCCCCCAGAAATTCTGCCATCCCTCACTCTATTTGATGAGAAAAAAATGTTATATATACAAGGACTCCTGAGAACATGATTTCTGTCAAAGGCAAAGAGTACAGAGTGAATAAAAACGTGGCAACCCTAAGGAGAATCAAGGCTGAGTTAATAATAATCTTGTGAAAAGACTTTCTTGCATCCAGTTGCATCTTAGTCCCTTTTCAAAAGCAGGAGTATGGTGCTTCCAAATGTTTTTGGCTATGGTTTCCATTAGCCCCAGCTAGCATGATCAATAAGCCCATCATTCTGGAAGCTGTAGTCCAAAATATCTACAAAGGACCAGGTTGCTTACCTGTATTCTAAAGTCTGCTTTATGTTTTTCTTTTTCCTTCACACCTGTGCATCTCTCTCTCTCTCTCTCTTTTAGCAAATTTCATAAAATCATCAAATAGTATTTCTAGAATGAAGTTGGCAGATGACATACCATTGTCAGAAAACTCAAACATTGAAGCCAAGAAGGAACAAAAGATAGAATTCCCAGATTCCCCTTTGTTTCGTGTATGGGGTAAAGATCTAAAGAAAGAGCAACAAATTGCAGCTCAAGAGCTATTTCTTAAATATGGATACAATGTCTACCTTAGTGACCGCTTGCCTCTGGAAAGATCTCTAAAAGACACTAGAGTGCCCAGGTAAAGTATGAAAATCTCAAGTATGTCTGTGAGCTAATGTAAATGGGGTTGCTAATGTTTTCAGGTGGGGTAGGGAGAGAACACTGGCTCTCTGGGTAAGCTATTTGGATGCACTTGCGCAGAAGCTGTCAGGTCAGGGAAACTGGCAGAACCTAACAGTTACCCTAGTCAACTATGTTGTTGTTTAGTTGCAAAGTTGTGTCTGACTCTTTGCGACCCCATGGACAACATTCCTCCAGGCTCTCCTATTGTTGTTACTACTACTATTGTTTTTTTAGAATTTTATTGTTGTATTTCACTTTTTTCCTACCTGTAAGGAACATAACGTGCTTACAAGGTTATTCTCCTTTTCATTTCTCCTTACAACAACACTGTTAAGTAGGTCATGCTGAGAGTTATGGACTTGCCCTAAGTTAGCCAATGAGTTTCATGGCTGAATTAGAACCAAGATCTCATGAGTCCCAGTCTAACATTCCAACCATTGCACCATATTGGCTCTCTATCCTCAGCTGAAACCCCCATTCAGCAACTTTTAAAAAGCCCCCATTAACACTACTGGTTGCTTTTAAAAAGTCTAATTGTGGTGTCCCCAGGAGCTGCCCCAGCACAGCAATTAGACTTTTTGAACCCTCCATAAGCAGGAATTGAGCCTTTCTGAAATCTGATTTATGTACACGGAGGAGCAGGCTTGGAAGGCAAGAGGACTGGATGGAGAGGACGTAACAGGCTGCCAGAGTTTTAGGAGAAGTACAGTTCTGTTCAGAACAGGGATTCCATCCATTCTGGATAAAGTAGCAGTTTTCTTGGAAGACTGGGTTCCTAGCCTGGGATTTTTTCTTTCTTTTTCTTTTTTGAGATTTGGATGTTTTGAAGAGTCTCTAAATTCTTGAAGTTCATTTCACCTTGTTTTTGGTCCCAAATGCTAGTGCTTCATCCCCTCCCAAATACTGTAATATTAGTCTTTCAGAGGTCAAAAAGGCACTGTGAATCTCTTTATTCTGATCATTCATTAATTTCCATGAAGCACATAAATAATTTGAAAGGGTGTATACAAAAATGGATATTAATATCTGTTCCAGTACAAAATTATCATTTTTTTAATCTCTACCTAAAAAGAAGCACCTAGTGGACATTGGCAAAACCTTTTGTTAAACGAATACTTAGCTTTATTATATTGTCAGCAGCAAGCCAAATTAAGCAATCCCTTATTAAAGAGGTTCTGTTTTCCAACATACATGAAACAAAAGGTTTTGCTGAATAGGATTCAGTCTGAGATCCATAGACACAAAAGGTATATATGGCAAAGCAGCAATCATTCACTGATTAAATCCAATTCCCAAATTAGTTTCAGTTTAAAACCCTATATATCATATTCATTCACTAATAATGATATATATACATTGCCACTCCTCCTGAGCTTCCAAATGTACAAATACCACAATATCAAAAAATATGAACAAATACTGCAAGTGCAGGTATTATCCTTCATCTATAGCTGGCAAGTTATATTTGACGTATGGAACAGAAAATGACAAGGACTCATTTTCAGCACCAGCCATTAGCTTTGTGATCTGGATATGTTTGGACATTCATAGCACAGTCATTCAACTGCAACAATTAACAGATAATTGTTTGAATATATTACCATTTATAGGTGAGAAAGATCTAGGTCATCAAGTAGAGGGTTTGATGATCCCACAGCCACTTTTGAAAACTTGGGATAAAATGAAAAAAGAAATTTAGTCCAGTTCTTTTCCCACTAGACCTGGTGGGACATGGTAATTAGACATGGTAAATTTATTAGCTGAGGTTCATGCTCAAGAAGTTTAGGCATGGAACTGGACTAATGTAGATGTTTACATCTTTGATAATTAATGATAAATACTTTCGAGACAGGAAATTAGATTGAAGATAGGAGATTGCCCTCTGGTTTCAGTATTTGCAAATACTGAGTTTTATATTTTAATAATGGGCCCTATATGTGTATTCAGGAGTTTGGCCATGGTAAAGCAGCTGTTAATTAGTTAAGAATCACAAAGTTATTAGCAAAATATTTTCTCCATTGTCTGTGGCTTGAGTGAAAAGAGACATTTTTAGCTCAAAGATAACATTCCAATAGCTTCTGCTTTTCTTTGTTTTCCTGTAGATGTCTAGAGAAAAGATATCCACATGATCTCCCAACACTTAGTGTCATTCTTATATTTTTTAATGAGGCTACATCCATCATCTTACGTGCAATCACAAGCATAATTAATCGAACACCTTCACATCTCCTGAAAGAAATTATCCTGGTTGATGATTTCAGCACAAATGGTAAGTTACATGGTTTGCGAAAATAACAGGCCAGAATAGTTTAACCATGCAACAAGGTTTTTCTGCTGTTGCCTATGGCCACTACAACCCTGCTCCCTCTGCGAATAGTGAAAAGTGTTACATGGAGACAATTCTCAAGAAAGCCCAACATTGCCTTCTGCACTGGATGCACTGCTATTGTCCACAGTAAAATATGACCCAATCATTCACTTTCCAAGGAAGTCCTCCTGCACCTCATCTTGTGTTATCTGTTCTCATGGCCTGCTCTTTGGACTGGTGAACAACCTGCTCTCAGCAGTTGCACGTTGCAAGTCTAAGAAGAATGGCCATGAAATGCACCATAGGAGACAAATGTACCACGAGACAAATTGTGATTTGCCAGTTAGGACATTTTCAAAGTGCATGATCAAGCCAAGAGAACTCTGCATGCAATCTTGCAACTCCCCATACAATGAAAGCTACTGTCCTTCTCCCTCCTGGCCATGCTACCCAGAGGAGTGGCATTGCTACTGCCACCTGTTTTCCCTCTCCTTTCTTCAGGAAAAAGTACTGCCTTTTATCCACTAGTTTTGTCATGCCAACAATGTGGCAGATAGGGAGCTTAAACATAAATTTTAAATGGCTTTAATGAGGTTCAAAGGGTAAGCTGGTGAACACAAGCTGGTCAATAATTACCATAAGTAGAAGAATGGAAAATACCGGCTTTGCTGCAACCTAACTCATTTAAACCACTTCTCAAATGAGGCCTGAGGCTGAGGCAAAGGGCACCCTATTCAATAAACATGTTTCCTCCTCAAGTGTCAGATACCATTTCCTCTGTCAGTGGCCTCTGGCTTCAGTAAGGGGTCAATCTTCCAGAACAGCACACCCAGGGTCTATGACACTCAGCAATCCACCTTGTCCTGCACCACTTCTCTCTCATGGGGAAGGCTGGGGTTTCTAATCAAAGTGGACATGGCTGTTTCCAAGCCACTTGCTCAAGTAAGGAGGAACTCACACAAAGGTGTCCAGGAAAGATGCAGGGCAACCACCTTATTGCCTGTCCATCCCTTCTCCCTCATTTGATAGACCAAATTGAAAAGGGTGTGGGTTGTTTGGGATGAATGAAAAACAGATGGAAAGATCATATTGTAAGATTGTTTACAATGAGTCTTTCAAATGCAAAATTCACCACTTTATTACCTGAGATTATAGGTATCTTAGTTCCTGTAGATGTTTTGAACAGCAGCCACCATGAACTTTTGGCGATGTGGAGGGGAAGGTGTTACTCACCCTACCATAAAGTTTGCATATATTCCTTGGGAGCCATGTGGGAGTCATTAAGTTTGCTGTTACATATTGTCAGTTCTAATGTACCTTGTTTTGACAGGTACTTCTGGCCACAAGTTGTAGTTTCTTTTTTCTTTTTTATAAAGATTTTTATTAAGATTTTAAACTAAAACTAAAAACATCAGTCATCAAATACATCTGGCGTACTGGGTCAGCCCCCTACAACATATCTTTTTAACATTCTATAATCATATTCAAATCAATTTATAAAAATTTAAAAACATCTTTAAATCTAAGCCAAGTCCCGTTTCTCCAGCCAGTCATAAAAAAGGTCCCAAGTTTGATCAAAAAGGTCCCAAGTTTGAACAAGTTGTAGTTTCTTGTTGAAGAGAGAATGGAAATGGAAATATAATTTGTGTTTTACTTCCCCTTCCTTTTTGCATCAATAACTGGAAATGATATTTCAAGAAACTAAATGCACCATATACACTATTTTCAGAAGAGCTAAAAGAACCATTGGATGAGCATATAAAAAACTACAATGTTTTGCATCCTGGACTGCTGAAAATTGTAAGACATCAGAAAAGAAAAGGTCTCACAACAGCTCGGATTTCTGGCTGGAACGCATCCAGTGCAGATGTGGTGGTTATCTTGGATGCACATATTGAAGTTAATCTTGAATGGTAAGGCAAAGAATGCTTAGGGCCGCATCACAAACAAAAATACATTCTCTATTTTGTAATTTGGCACTATTGGTGGAAATGCAATATGATATAAAATTTATTCTATTGATATTTTCATTAGCCCTTATGATTGTCTTATATTGTGCATGTAGAACATTTGACTTTAAAAAGCCCATTAAATACATCTGCTTGTTTCCTGTCTATGCTTACATAGTTTGGGTTATGCTAAGTTCAAAAATTGTAAAATGCAAAAACCAACGTTCAAAAATTTTAAAATGCAAAACCCAAATGTATGTATGCATTTATATATCATAGTGCAAGTCTCACCCATAAGTATTGATATTCACATATATAAGGCACTCGTGTGTGTCATAGCCCTCATTCAATAACCTTGAATAAATGGAATCACCCAGCTCACATTCTATACTGCAATTTACACATAGGTAGTTCTACTGACTAGTAGGGTTGGGATGAACCTTTTCAAAATCCATTCCTCCAAGATTTGCCGAATTCCTTTTGTGACGGCCCTATCCTGCAAAGTGAGTCAGGTCCAGAGGAAGTCTGTCAATGCTTGTTGACCAAGCGTTGTGTAACCCTTGGAAGCATTCCCCACCAGCTACACCCAGCAATAGGGAAGAAGGTAAATGCTTGCACTGCTGCCCTGCATCATTGCCATAGTGAGCAGAGAAAAAGGTTTCTGCAAGGATTTGCAATGACCAACCTTCTTCCTTTCCTGCTGTTGGTGGCAGTAACAGCGGCATTATGGAAGAGCAACACTGCAAGCATGTATGCCAAGTACCATTCATGGTTACCGACTTAGAAACACAGAAACAAAGCGAGGCAGAAGGGGACCCCTGGGCCATCTAGTCTGAGCCTGGCTCCAGCCAGCTCTGCTCATGACATGCCTACCATGTGCATGTCCAACCTATTCTTGAACACCAAATTCAACCTTGGTTCCCTGAGCTTTGCTCCATTATAATGCGTCCTGCACTGCTCTGGAGTGGAAATCAAGTCTCTACCCATCTCCATGTGACACCCGCTCATGTACTTATGTTGCTAACAGATCCCCTCAGAGTCTCCTCTTCTCCAGGCTGAAAAGACCAGGTTCCCTCAGTCTCACCTCATATGGCTTTCCCTGCAATCCGGCCACCATCTTTGTGGCCCTTCACTGCACTGAGTCTAACCTGGCTATATCCTTCTTGTAATGTGCAGCCCAGAACCGAACACAGTACTCCAGTTGAGGGTGCACCAGAGTCGTATAGAGTGGTAGTAATACCTCTCTCAATCTGGAAGCCACACTTCTGGCTATACAACCAAGGGTGGCGTTCACCCTCTTGACTGCCACATCACACTGCTGACTCATGTTTAGCCTGCAGTCAACCAGCACCCCGAGGTCCCTTTCACAAGTGCTGCTTTCCAGGCACTTGTACCCTAACCTGTACTTATGACCATTCCTATGCCCCAAGTGCAAGACCTTGCACTTATGCACATTGAACGCCATCCTGTTGTCCCCTGCCCACTTCCATAGTCTGTCCAGATCCTTCTGCTCCTTAGTTGTGGCCACTGCCCCCGTTTTAGTATTGTCTGCATATTTGATCAGCAGACTGGTCACCCCTTCTTCCATGTCGTTGATGAAAAGATTGAACAGGATTGGTTCCAGGACAGAGCCCTGGGGGACCCCGCTTGTCCCTGGCTGCCATCCTGATGATTCCCCACTAATGGTTACCCTTTGGTGGCCAGATTGCAGGGAAAGTCATATGAGGTGAGGGAACTGGGTCTTTTCAGCCTGGAGAAGAGGAGTTTCTGAGGGGGTCTGGTAGCGACATATAGGTACATGAGGGGGTGTCACGTGGAGGTGTGTAGAGATCTGTTCTTCCCTGCAGAGGAGCACAGGACACACTCCAACGGAGACAAGCTCAAGGAACCAAGGTTCAATTTGGATGCCAGAAAGTACTTCCTGACAGTTAGGACCCCAAGGGCATGGAATGGGCTTCCACAGGATGTGGTTGAAGCCCTTCATTGAGGGTGTTCAAGAAATGGCTGGATATGCACATGGTAGACATTTCATGAGTGGAGCCAGCTAGAGCCAGGTGTCAGACTAGATGGCCCGGAAGGCCCCTTCTGACTCTCTTAGGTTCTATGTTTCCATGATTTCTGAAAATATGAATCATGTTTTATCCTGTGGCAATGGGGTTCAAGGGAAGGTTGTGAATCTTCTGCAGGTAAAAGAAATCAGGAGCCAAATAGAGAATGTCAGCAGCACACACCCAGGGGCAAGAAGAGTTCCCCTGCTCCTTCTCACCAGGACACCATTGAAGGTCCCCTTGGTAAGCAGGCTACTCTCCATAAGCAACACCCCTGTAGATTTCGTATTTGAGCAGCTTGTGGCCTAGGCTTACTCTTGCACTTAGATGACTTATCTGTGAAGTAGGAATAAGCTCAGCTCACATGACCTGTCATCTCTGTAGCCAGGGAGACAATCCATTTACAACAAAGGCTTTTGAAACCCTTTCTAGTGTATTTATGGGTAGCCAGATCATATCTTGCTTAGATTGCAAAGTGAATTAGTTTCCAAGTCATGTGTCCAGGTCTGAGAAAGCAGCTTAATTAGCAGCCTAATTTAATATCTGAATGCCCTCACAAGTACTAGGTTTAAGTACTATTTCCATAAACTACTAAGTACAGCTAGTTGTGTAAGAGAGCTACTTTGAGAAAGGAATGTAGGAACCTAAGATTCTTTCTGTTCATTGAATGGGCTCACCAGGAACTCCTGCTGCTACTGTTGCTTCTTATTACCATTTTAACTTTTTACCACATGGATGGCAATTGAAGGACCATGGAAACACCTCAGAGGCTAGACTTTGCCCAAAGTCACAAGTTTTAAATTGCTAGTATAGAGTAAACTAATTCATCTGCTACATTGCAGGGCTGAACCCATCCTCTCCAGAATAAAGGAAGACCGCACTGTTATCATTTCACCAGTGTTTGATAACATCCGCTTTGATGATTTCGAACTTGTTCGCTATACTGAGGCTGCAGATGGATTTGACTGGGCCCTTTGGTGTCTCTATGAAGCAATACCAGAAGACTGGTATGCATTAAAAGATGAAACAGCACCAATTCGGTAAGCTGAAATAATAATGTTTAACACTTAAAGCTGTTACAGGGCCAGTTCCCTTTTAAGGAAAGAAAACTAATGTTTGTGCAACATCTGTTTATTCACAAAAGATAATTCCTGTAGCAAAACAGAAGAAAAATCCTAGATGGATGACAGAAGAAGTTAATGGCAAGCCAAAAGTAAAAGGTGACATGAATAGGGTCAGAGTTTTAAATGCATGTTTTCAGTGACTATCACATAGAGACAAAAGGATCTATTGTCAGTATAAATAAATGTGAACAACAAAATTAACAAAACAAGAAACCTTTTCCAGAAGATCCAAGAAATCAAAGGGAAATTCAAACCCAGATTAAGGATTTTGAAAGAGCAACAGGGGAACATACTATTTGAGCAGGAGAAAATAAACAGAAGGTGGAAACAATATGGAGAAAAACTATATAGAAGAGATAAAAAGATAGGCTCCTTTGAAGAGGAGGAAGAAACTTCCCTTATATGATGAAGAAACCACAGTTAGGGTTGGGATGAACCCTTTTGGGATTTTTTACTTTGGGATCCACAGAGCCAGGACCTGCAAAGCAAGCTGCATGACTGCAGGACATAGAAAAGCAGTGCTGAGAGCAGCTACACCAGAAACTATCCCCAGTGACCAACAATTGCCTGTGTGGATCAGGATAGTCTTGAAAGAAATGACTGTGCTTCAGCACTTGATTTTCATAATGCATAACTTGTATTGTGGGCAAGAACCTATTGTTAGGACAAGAATATGGAGAACAAATGGTTTCCTATAAGCATAGGTGTCAGACAAGGGTTATTTTACCTCCTGCCTTGCTGAGTCTGTACGCAGAACATATCGTAAAGAATGCTGAATTAGGATCAGAAAAAGGAGTGAAAATTGACAGAAAACATCAATAACATGCAGATGATACTATATTACTGACAAAGTAACAATAAACTAAAAAGACTCCTGATACAAATGAAAAAAGACAGGTGGGAATGAGGTGGGGAAGAAACCTTGAGGGGCTCAGTAAAAGATTTATTTATGATAACCTTCCTCAACCTTGTGCCCTCAAGATATTTTGGACTCTAATTTCCTTCTAGCCAGCGTAACCAATGGTCAGGAATCTGGGACTGGTAGTTCACATTTTCAGGCTGCTCTAACAAAATGGTAAAGAAAGGTCTGAATAAATGGGACAAGGCTAATTTAGGTCCTTCTTTGTGCTTAAATATACCCAGAGGCTTCCTCTTTTTCCACCTGTGATTGCTGCCTGCTTTTCCAGCACTGAAACAGCAGGATTGTAATAATGCCTGCTCTATAAGGTTTTGGATCACAAGCAGTGAAAAGGGGAAGACACACTGAATGTAGGGAAAAGAAAGCTGGAAGTGAGTTTTTAAGTAGATAGTAGGAGTTAGGAGGAAAAGGTGAAATATTTTGAAGAAGCACAGGAAGTCATGGAAAAAAAGATGCATTTTGTGGTTACATAAGTCAAATCTGACTTATGATGACCCCATGAATGAAATTCCTTCAAAATGTCCTGTGTATGATAGGCCCACTCAGCTCTTCTAAGTTCAATGCTGTATAGCTCATAACATGTATAGCTCAAGAGAAAGCAATTATAGAAAGGTCAAAAAGTCCAACTCCCTGCTCAGCGCAGGAGTCCAGTTTATTTGGATATCTGAGGGATGGTCATCCAGTATCTACTTGATTACTCCAGTAATGGAATGTCCACTTTTGTCATGTGCACACATCCTGTCAAACATCAGACGTGCTCATGGGAGACCCCCTGTGGCAGTTGTACTGAAGATTCCGATTTTGAGGACAAGACTGTTTTTGAAATGGTACAGCCTCCAGCTGCGGTTCAAAGTCCTGAGACCCAACAGAATGCAGCAGTAGGGGAGATCAGCTCAAAGGCAGATCATGGAACCAAACAACCTGACCATGGAAATGTTGAGATGGATATTGCTTGGAAGGTGAAACACAGATCATGACAACTTCCTTCTTAGGCAGTTGCTTCTATTATCTAATTACTCTGATTATTAGGAAGTGCATCATGAACTACTTTTCTCATTAGAGTCATGTGCCATGTGTCAGGAGCCTCCTTTGCACCTTTGAAGCCAAATACCATTTTTTGAAAACTGTTCTTGATTGACCAAAGCACACAAAAACCCAGAATTCATCCCTAAGCATGCACAGAGAGGTTTGTTGAACCCAATATAGTATCCACCTCCAGAAACCCTCCTTATGAGTATGTTTTTCCATCCCTTTGGGAGGGGCCTTCTGAAAATGATCATGCCTCCTCCCTGCACACCAATCCTCTAATTGAGCCATCCTCTGATTGCCATAGCGTCAAGAGCCAATGGTACCAAATCTGGGCCTGAGATTCTCCACTGCTCCAAGTCCCCTCCTTTAGAATGTATATCTTGGTAATTTTCAGAGACTGACTACATACCTGGGGAGTCTGGTCTTGATATAAGTTTCTCCACTTTTCTCATCTCAGGGTCTTAGGGTGGCCGACATTCTCAGTCCCTCTTCTGCACCTCTCCCCCCTTTTCTTCTGATTCTTCTGGAGACCAGCCAGCAACCCTTGAGAATGTGCACCCAAAGCAGCCATCTTTCTCATTCCCAACCTCATGGGAATTTACTTATCATTGTTCTGAGTTCAGTAAAATCAGATTTCCTAAATTCCAGGGCAAGCATTTGGCTTTACTTGGCTTTTGGGCTTCCTTTTGGATCAAAAATTCACATATGGCACGGGCACTTTTCCCCAGAGTTCCCATAATTGTCACTTTGTCCATTGGTTTTTCCTGTTGGTTAGAATCAAGTCCTGTTGGTTAGAATCTTATTGATTCCATATCCTGAATAAAGTCCAAATTTTTCAATTTGCTCCATTATATACTGTATAGATTGATGTGGATCCAAAAGACTCAAAACTATATCATCGAAGTAAGATTTTATTTTATATTCTTCTCCACCTGTTTTAAGGCATTTAATTTTGGGGTCCTGTCTTATCTCTTTGTTAAAATTTCAAGTATAAGGAGAAATAAAAGAGGTGATGGAGGACATCCCCAACACATTCCCTTCTCCATTTGAAAGCTAATACACCATTGATTAAAATCTTGGCATGTTGTTTAGCATACATTGTGATTATCCTTCCTTGTACTTCCTCATCCAAAACTTTAATAAAGATGTTGAAGAGCACTGAGCTCAGGACTGAACCCTGCTGCACCCCACTAGATACCTCCATCTAATTTGAGAAGGTGCCATTGATGAGCACTCTTTGGGTCCAATTTATCAGCCAATTTAGGATCGACCTAATAGTTTTTCCATCTAGTTCAGCTTTTGCTGTCTTGCTTATCAGAATGTCGTGTGGCACTATGTCAAAAGCTTTGCTAAAGTCTAGGTAGATTATGTCCACAGTGTTCCCTTTGTCCATTTGGGAGGTTACCCAGCCAAAAACTGAGATTAAATTAGTCTGACGGAATTTATTTTTGATAAATCCATGCTGGCTTATGTTAATCACTGCATTTTCTCTGAGATGCTTGCAGATGGATTGTTTAAATAATTTGCTCAGAATATTTCCAGGGATTGATGTCAGACTAACTGCTCTGTAGTTTCCAGGTTCATCTTTTTCCTCCTTTTGAAGATAGGTACAAGAGGAGCCTTTGTCCAGTCATCTGGCACTTGTCCTGTTTTCCAACATTTATCAAAGATAATAGCTAGTGGTTCTGAGAGTTCCTCCACTAGCTCTTTTATGACTCTGGGATGGAGTTCATTGGGCTGTGGAGATTTGAAAGTGTTCATTCTACCTAGGTATTCCTTGATCATATGTCTCTTAATCTTGGGTCACAATCTCTCACTTCCAGCCTATACTTCCTTTTGATTGTAGATTTTCTGGTGGGAGAGAGAAGACTGAGGCAAAGTAGGAATTGAGCTCCTCTTGGCAGAGCAGTGGAACAGCAGAGGCAGAGGCTGGGAGAGAGTGCTGAGGGTGGCCAGGGGACTGAAAAAGACAAGGTAGGAGCTGGGCAGAGAAGCAGGGGGGCAGGAGCAGTGGAGAAGAAGGGAGGTGGGGCCAGAGAGGCCAGAGGGGCCAGAGGGGCCAGGAGGAAGCACAGGGGTGGGGCCAATGGCCTGAGAGGCTTATAAGGTGTCGTCCCTTGTCTGCGTCCCTTAGCTGCTGCCTGGGCTGCCCGGGGACTCCCTTCCCTGGGGGCAGGGTTTCTTTTGTTTGCTTTTGTTTTGTCTTTCCCCCAATTTAAATTTTTATTTTATCCTTGTGTGTGTGTGGGGGGGAGGGGTTGTCTGGAAGAACTAGGCGAGTGATGGGTACTGCAGGACAGACAAGGTGGGGGACCAAGGTAGGGTCTCTGAGGGGTTCCCAATGGCAGGCCAGGAGATGGCCTTGGAGGGAATCACGTGTGTTGCTGTCCACTGTGACAGGCCCACCCTTCTTCCCCAGGAGAGACAGGGATACACTTGCCCTCAGTGCAACCTGGTGACCCTCCTAGAAGAGAAGGTGAGGTGCCTGAGGGCTGAGAGAGCTCTCCAGGCCCCCCCGGGAGCAGTCCCCCTCCAGACAGAGGGTTGAGGGAGAGGCCACAGGAGGAGCAGCCAGGGAGACATGGAGGTATGTCACCCACAGGAGGAGGAGGCCCAGCCTCCTTCTCCTGGTGCCAACCTGGACCTGGGAAACAGGTTCTCTCCACTTGGGGAGGCTGGGGCTGATGAGGCCTTGGGGAACCAGCAGGACCCCCAGCCTGGGACCACAAGTGGCAAAGGGGCTGCTGCAGGAAAGGCAAGTGCCAGGGCACAGTTGCTTACCACCACCAGGGAGAGAAGGCAGTGGGTGATCATCGTTGGGGACTCCCTGTTGAGGGGCACTGAGGCAGCGGTGTGCCACCCCAACCTTGAGGCAAGGGAGGTTTGCTGCCTGCTGGGCACATGCATCTGGCATGTGAAGGATAGAGTGGAGCAACTTGTTTGCTCCAGGGGTCACCAGCCACTTCTG